TGGAGTGTGTAATTACCAATTGGCAGGTAGTTAAGAGGTAACGAACCTCCCAATCGTGAGATCTTCCCAAATCTCCCAATCCCGAATCCCACAATTCACTTCATGTGAAAATTCTGTGAGTATTATAACTGGGTGAGGATCTTGCCCATTGAATTATTGATTATCCAGTTATTAGGCTCTTCAGACATGCTGGTATGAGGTACTTGGAGCCCTAATCCTCCTGGTATGAGTTGCCTGGAGCATGAACCTCCTGATATCAGGTATCAGGAGCTCTATACCTCCAAGTATGAGATACCTGGAGCTCTTAAACCGCATCATTCACACTCATATTTCATCATCTTTGTTTTAAAACATTGTATCGTATTCGTCATCAGAATACGTTTGATATCATCCATATTATGAATACAATATGCATGTTCATTAAAATACATTTTAGCTATGTATATATAATTATGCAGAGTTAATTTGTGTTTAGCCAAAAATCGACACTTCTCTCTCTAAATATTTATATTTCATATATATTTATTTATATTATATATAGCAAATATAAATATTTTCCAAGATTTCCTTTCTTGAAAATTGAAAAAAACAATTCAAAGTAATAATTAACTTTGGTAAAAAAAATATACAAAATTATATAGGCCTAATATAAAAGACTCATTACTATTTTTGATATGAACAAAACTTTGAACCATTATAGAGAAACTATCACTCAATTTTAATTAATTTTTAGTGCCACTGAAGCAAATTCTGATATTCCTGAAAAATATATATTTCAGGATATCGTTTAAAATTTCATTTGAAAACTAAATCATCTCTCGTAATCAACGTGGAACATATCCATGCTTTCCGGTATATTTTTTTCTGATATATCACAAGTTCCAGTTTTTTTGGAGTTGGAAATCATGTTATACATGAGTATGCTTGATAACTGATAACCAGATATCTCTAAATTGAGGTGTTTTGTGTTATACTAATTATCCACAATTATATGTATTATATATATATATATATATATATATATATATATATATATATATATATATATATATATATATATATATATATATATATATATATATATATGACAATGTCAGACCACGGAGGAAAAATGAAACAGGAAATTTCCTTAAGTACTTTCGTATATTAAATACATCTTCAGAAGGTCATTTTACAGATCGAGTGATGGGTATAAATAGGCAGGAGAGAGTGGTGAAGTAAGGTGAGGTACAATACTTGGACAACGCAGACGGCCCATTGGCCCATCAGATGCACCCAATTGGCCCATCCGATGTAGCCCAATGGCCCATCTGATACAGCAGACATACAAGCATAATACATAGGTAATTATAACATAAAGAGGTAAATATATACAATAAATTAGTGAGACAAATGTTTTTCAATGATTCTACTTAAATCGCCCTTTAGCTGATCTATTAGAAATGGATCTAAGTTATATAGACCACTGCTAATATTCAAATTACTTTCTTTGGTGATCTGTATCAAAGCAGATTCAATTATGTTTCTGTTATAGGTGCTTTTACAATTTGTTATTGAAGAAGCACTCTCCCAATCAATTTGGTGAGCTTTTTCTGACAAATGCACAAACAAAGCATTAGACAATTGGCCATGTCTTACAGAGTATTTATGTTGCGATATTCTACATTTTAAATCTTTAGATGTTTGCCCGACATAGAACTTATTACATTCCTTACAAGGTATTTTATAAATGATGCAATTATCACTACGAGGGCTGTTCCTTACTAATAGCTTACCAACAGTGTTTTCGTAGCTAAACATTACATCTATATTAAAAAGTTTCAAGGCCTTGACAATATTCTCAAACCCAGAGAAATATGGTAAACATAACACATTCTTTGGGCGAATCCTTACACTGCATACATTATTATAATATGTACGACGAGCTTTGTTACGACAAACTTCCAAAAAATTCAGTGGGTAACAAAGCTTAAGACCAATCGAATCAATATTCTTAAATTCTTCATCTAAGAATTCTGGACTCACAACTCGAAGAGCTCTTAGATACATTGAAGAAAAAATTGACTTTTATATATATATATATATATATATATATATATATATATATATATATATATATATATATATATATATATATATATAAATATATTATATGATTCGGATTTGCGTATCCACTAGGAAAATGAATCGAAAAAAATCATAGTTTTCGTTTAATTTTCCTAGTGGATCCTTACGTATACATATATACATACATACATATATACAGCATTCAGAACCTTGTATATCTCACGTCATAACAGTGCTGAAGTATATGGCTCCAGCCTGGAGTCCATATCTAGTCAAACACGAAACAAACTTACAAAAGGTTCAGAGATTTGTCACCAGGCTAGTCCCCGAGCTGAGGGGTATGAGCTACAAGAAAAGATTACTAGAATTAAACCTGACGACACTGGAAGACAGAAGAGTTAGGGGAGACATGATCACTACCTATAAAATTCTCAGAGGACTAGGCAAGGTAGATGGAGATAAACTATTTAACACGGGTAGTGCGCGAACAAGGGGACACAGGTGGAAACTGAGTACCCAAATGAGCCACAGGGACGTTAGCAAAAACCTTTTCAGTGTCAGAGTAGTTAACAAATGGAATGCATTAGGCAGTGATGTGGTGGAGGCTGACTCCATACACAGTTTCAAATGAAGATTTTATAGAGCCGGAATCTGCACACCAGTTGATTGACAGTTAAGAGGCGGGGGGCAGAGAGTCGAAGCCCCCCCCCATGCACAATTAGGTGAGTACAACTAGGTGAGTACATAGACGTCACTCACACACATTGTATCAACAGATATACAAAAAGTTATTACTTCTGAAGGGAACTTCCAGGCGTCAGTGTTGTAGATATGTAGCATGCGTCAGTGTGTGTGTGTGTGTGTGTGTGTGTGTGTGTGTGTGTGTGTGTGTGTGTGTGTGTGTGTGTGTGTGTGTGTATACAGTGCAATTACAATCTATCCCTTCCCCTCCCAGATTAGATCAGATCTATCAGATCAATCTATCTCTCGCTGCGGACACTAAATTAAATAATCATTTGATTTGGGACAAAGAGCGAAGAGAAGTGATCAATTTCCTTGAGATTTAGCGAGAGAAAGAACACTTCCTTCCTGATTATCTGAAATTTTATATCAATATATATATAACCACACAGCATAATTGTGGACTTATAAAATATATTCATACTTGCATACACATCGTGTGTGTGTATATGTAGGAATTTCGTCGCATGTTTGAGATGCTATGAGGTTAGTCTCCTGGAACTTGAAACACGTCATGGTTCCCAGTCAATCCCCACAGGAACCTTACCAGGAAGATATGTAGGGGGGAATATAGCTGTCTCCTTCCTCTCTTGTTTCTCTTCCTGGTTCTCCTCTTCGGCTTTACTGTCTCCTCTACCTTGTTCTCTTGTTCCTTCTCCTACTCCCCCCTTCTCTTCCTTCTCCCTCCCCCCCCCCTCGCTGCACTTTCTGACAAACACATAAACAATTCCCATGGACCAAGTTAGCGGGGACGGCCAAGTTTTAAGTGAGTTAGCGCTTAAATGTGTTAGTGTTGGACCACTTTTCGTTCTGCGCGCTTAGTGAAGACTCAGGTGGTGTACTCACCTAGTTGTACTCACCTAGTTGTGTTTGCGGGGGTTGAGCTCTGGCTCTTTGGTCCCGCCTCTCAACCGTCAATCAACAGGTGTACAGGTTCCTGAGCCTATCGGGCTATGTCATATCTACATTTGAAACTGTGTATGGAGTCAGCCTCCACCACATCACTTCCTAATGGTGTGTGTGTGTGTGTGTGTATGTGTGTGTGTGTGTGTGAGTGTGTGTGTGTGTGTGTGTGTGTGTGTGTGTGTGTGTGTGTGTGTGTGTGTGTGTGTGTGTGTGTGTGTGTGTGTGTGTGTGTGTGTGTGTGATTTTTGAAGTGCTGTCTACATTAATATGTTGGCCTACTGCCACCTATTGTGTTATACTGTGCCTATTCCGAGAGTCCACATAAGTCCTCTTCTTTCTCTCACTTTAAAGAGGCTTTCCATGTCTACCTTTTATATTTCCCACAGTATCGTGAATGTCGTGATCACGTCTCATTTCTTTCTTCCTAAAGGTTATGGGGCTTAGTTCCATTAGCCTATTTTCGTAGCTTAACCCTCTGAGCGCTAATACTAATATTATCGTAAATCTTGGCATTTTGTCGAGTTTTAAGCATCGCGATTTGTGGATTCCAAACGGTGCTGCATATTCCAGCACTGGTCTAACATAGGTTGTGTAAGGTCTTGAAAGAGTTCACATTTAAGTTATGGATGACGTTCTTACATCCACCAGCTCTAATTTGCTGTCTATATTGCCCTCTTCAGGTGTGTAGTGTTGCCCTCTTCAGGTGTGTAGTGTTGCCCTCTTCAGGTGTGTAGTGTTGGAATTACCTCCACTCCGAAATGTGTTTCTCACTCTGATTTCTATAGTTTCCCCTCTCCTTATAGCGTAGATACCTCGTCTACGTTTTCCCTTTCCCATCTTCATAACCTTACACTGGTTGAGATTGAATTCTAGCAACCATTTGTCGACCCACTCCTGGGGTTGGTCAAGGCTCTCATGTAACTTTCTACAGTCATCGTCAGTTTTTGCATTCCTCAAAAGCTTTGCATCATCAAGAAACAATGACATGAATGTGTTCACTGTCTTTGGTGGTGGTGATAGTGGTGGTGGTGGTGGTGGTGATAGTGGTGGTGGTGATAGTGGTGGTGGTGATAGTGGTGGTGGTGATAGTGGTGGTGGTGGTGAGTGGTGGTGGTGGTGGTGGTGGTGGTAGTGGTGGTGGTGAGTGGTGGTGGTGGTAGTGGTAGTAGTGATGGTGGTGGTGATAGTGATAGTGGTGATAGTGGTGGTGATAGTGGTGGTGGAGGAGGAAAGAAGTAGTAAGCGAGAGACCCCTGGCGGCGGGCGAGTGAGTCAGTCAGTCAGCCACCGACGGCCGCCACGAACACATCTCCCCCGCGCTCTCTCTCACCTCTCCCAGTCGTGACTGAGCCCTCAACCAGTGGCGCCATAGCAAGGAACGTGCAACTAACAACGTAATTATCCTCACCAAACAGTTCACCACGATCATTAACAAGTAGGAACTACTTTAGAGGAATCTGAAACTATCTAAAACAAAGTTTGTGTGAGTGATTAGAGTCGAGCTCTTCCGCTATTGGCTAATCTCAGCGGTAGTCACGTGACCCGCCTGAACACCTGAACTAAAAGTGGGACAATAATAAAGGAACAGAATGAAGAGAATTGTTGGGTGTGTTTTCCTTTGACCAATGTACCGTTGTACCACATATACTGTACCGTTGTACCACACATACTGTAGCATTGTACCACACATACTGTAGCATTGTACCACATACACTGTACCGTTGTACCACACATACTGTACCGTTGTACCACACATACTGTAGCATTGTACCACACATACTGTAGCATTGTACCACACATACTGTACCGTTGTACCACACATACTGTACCGTTGTACCACACATACTGTACCGTTGTACCACACATACTGTAGCATTGTACCACACACACTGTACCGTTGTACCACACATACTGTACCGTTGTACCACACATACTGTACCGTTGTACCACACATACTGTAGCATTGTACCACACATACTGTAGCATTGTACCACACACACTGTAGCATTGTCCCACACACACTGTACCGTTGTACCACACATACTGTACCGTTGTACCACACATACTGTACCGTTGTACCACACATACTGTAGCATTGTACCACACACACCGAACCATTGTACCACACACACCGTACCATTGTACCACCCACACCGTACCATTGTACCACCCACACCGTACCATTGTACCACCCACACCGTACCATTGTACCACCCACACCGTACCATTGTACCACCCACACCGTACCATTGTACCACCCACACCGTACCATTGTACCACCCACACCGTACCATTGTACCACCCACACCGTACCATTGTACCACCCACACCGTACCATTGTACCACACACACCGTACCATTGTACCACCCACACCGAACCATTGTACCACCCACACCGTACCATTGTACCACCCACACCGAACCATTGTACCACACACACCGTACCATTGTACCACCCACACCGTACCATTGTACCACCCACACCGTACCATTGTACCACCCACACCGTACCATTGTACCACACACACCGAACCATTGTACCACCCACACCGTACCATTGTACCACCCACACCGTACCATTGTACCACCCACACCGTACCATTGTACCACACACACCGAACCATTGTACCACCCACACCGTACCATTGTACCACACACACCGTACCATTGTACCACCCACACCGTACCATTGTACCACCCACACCGTACCATTGCACCACACACACCGAACCATTGTACCACCCACACCGTACCATTGTACCACCCACACAGTACCATTGTACCACCCACACCGTACCATTGTACCACCCACACCGCACCATTGTACCACCCACACCGTACCATTGTACCACCCACACTGTACCATTGTACCACCCACACTGTACCATTGTACCACCCACACCGTACCATTGTACCACCCACACCGCACCATTGTACCACCCACACCGCACCATTGTACCACCCACACCGCACCATTGTACCACCCACACCGCACCATTGTACCACCCACACCGCACCATTGTACCACCCACACCGCACCATTGTACCACCCACACCGCACCATTGTACCACCCACACCGTACCATTGTACCACCCACACCGTACCATTGTACCACACACACCGAACCATTGTACCACCCACACCGTACCATTGTACCACCCACACCGTACCATTGTACCACCCACACCGTACCATTGTACCACACACACCGAACCATTGTACCACCCACACCGTACCATTGTACCACACACACTGTACCATTGTACCACACACACTGAACCATTGTACCACACACACCGAACCATTGTACCACACACACTGTACCATTGTACCACCCACACCGTACCATTGTACCACCCACACCGAACCATTGTACCACCCACACTGTATCATTGTTCCACACACCACAATATCAGAAACATCATTGTCATTACCGCAGAGTTTGCTGAACAAAATCAAGTTCCTGTTCCTGAACAACTTGAACTTAAAGATAATACCAAAGGGAAACCTTAAGTGTGTGGACCAACTTGAATACCCGAAAGTTCGTTTCCAGTGAAGTGGAACCATTTGTTCAGTGGAACTTTAAAAATACCTCACAGGTTCCTGCTTGAGCGGAACTTAAAAAAACAATTATCTGAAAGGTCCTTATTTGAGCTTTAAAACTCCATCTAAAAAGATTTCCGCTTAAGTGGAACTTCAAAACAGCATCCGAAAGGCTTCTTGAGTGCAAGAACTTGAGTGGGAACTTAAAAGCACCATCTAAAGGGCTTCTCCTTGAGTGCATGAACTCCCTGAGTAAGGTCACCTGGTACACGCCTTCAAGAGTGTAGAATCAGGTAAGAAAATCTAATCTTGTCTCAATAGACTTTTTGTCTTTTGTAAATGATTTGTGAAGGAAGATGCTAAGCAGAATATCACGGCTATCTCCCTGATTCGAGGGGCCTGAACATGTGCATCAGGGTAAAAGAAACTTTGCCCATTTGTTTCTGCCTAGTCCGGGAATCGAACCCGGACGACAGAATTACGAGTCCTGCGCGCTGTCCACTCAGCTACCAGACCCCTGGTTTGTGCGTGTGTGTGTGTGTGTGTGTGTGTGTGTGTGTGTGTGTGTGTGTGTACTCACCTAACTGTACCTGCTGGACCGAGCGTTGGCTCTCGGATCCGGCCTTTCTAGTAGGATCTCGGATCCTAACCTGGGAATCAGGCAACTATTGTGGGTGGGGGGTTGCATCCTGGGAAGTATCATCAGTAGCTGATTTACTGGAACTTCGATTATCATAACAGCTTTTCCAGCCACGAGAACCGCTGAATTTACCACTAAATGATGGTGGGTTAATACCTTCTTCTGTCAGGTCAGCATTAACAGGACATACGAGACTAACAGAACGGTTGGTAATGCTGGAGAGCCACCTCCCTGAAGCACTTAAAAAAAACGTTTAGGTAGTAGATATAATATCAAGACCTGGGAGTAGATTTAACACCTAGATTTATCCCTATAAAAACACATTATATAACGTCAGCAGCAGTATTGAAGTGATATATACACTGAGAGACATATATACCCCAGCTTCCAGGTGTATATAAACTGAGAATTTACTTAAGACAATGATCAGGACGAAAGTATTCTTGCTGGTTGGTCAGTAAGCTTTTGTGGTGGTCTTAATAACCCTCCCGCGGTTATCAGAACTTAATCCCAACACACACACACATGCACGCACACACACACACACACACACACACACACACACACACACACACACACACACACACACACACACACACACACACACACACACACAAGCTTATCCCAGTCCAAAAGAAAAACAATGAAATGCAGATGAGAAACCCATGGTTTAATCAGAGATGTAGGCTAGCTAAGCAGCAAAGTGAAAGGGCGAGGAGAAACTATAGGAATAACAGAACATTTGAGAGCAGAGAAAGATACCAGAGAGCCAGGAATGAATATGTCAGGGTGAGAAGAGAGGCAGAAGGGTAATATGAAAATAACATAGCGAACATGGCAAAGACCCAACCCAAATTACTGCACAGCCACATCAGGAGAGACAACAGAGAAGGAACAGGTAATGAAACTGAGGATATGGGCAGACAGATTCAATACAAATGACAAGGAAGTGTTCGAGTAACTCAATAAGAAATTCCAGGAGGTCTTCACATTAGAGTAAGGAAAAGTTCCAGAAATAAGAGAAGGAATAGTTAACCAGGCACCGCTTGAGGAGTTTGAGATTACCAGTGGGGATGTAAGGAAGCTTTTGCTAGAGTTGGATGTGACAAAGGCTATAGGCCCAGATGAAATATCGCCATGGATACTAAAGGAAGGAGCAGAAGCATTGTGCCTGCCTCCATAGTGTTTAACAAATCACTGGTAACAGGGGAACTGCCAGAAATTTGGAAGACGGCAAATGTAGTTCAGATATGCAAGAAAGGGGATAGACAGGAGGCACTGAACTACAGGTCAGTGTCCTTAACTTGCATACCATGCAAGTTGACGGAGAAGATTGTGTGAAAAAAACTAATGGAACATCTGGAGCGAAGGAACTTTGTGACACAGCATCAACATGGGTTCAGGGATGGCAAGTCCTGCCTCACAGGATTAATTGAATTCTACGACCAGGCAACAAAAAACAGGCAAGAAAGAGAGGGGTGGGCGGACTGCATATTTTTGGATTGACCCAGTACCACACAGTACCTTCGACAGAGGGGCTTGATAGCTGAGAAAGGGGCCTGATATCTGAGTGGACAGCGCTCTGGACTCGTAATCCTAGGGTTTAACAAATCTACCTAGCTATTATGATAGAGCCACAGAGATACTACAGGAAAGAGGTGGTTGGGTTGACTGTCTATCTGGACCTAAAAAAGGCTTTTGATAGAGTCCCACACAAGAGGCTGTTCTGGAAACTGGAACATGCTGTAAGGGTGACAGGGAGACTTGTGACGTGGATGATGTTCTAACTGACAGACAGATGAGGGCAGTAACCAGAGACAATGTATCAGACTGGAGGAGTGTTACTAGCGGAGTCCCACAGGGCTCAGTTCTTGCACCAGTAATGTTCATAGTCTACATAAACCATCTACCAGAAGGAACACACAATTATATGAACATGTTTACTGATGATGCTAAGATACTGGGAAGACAGGAGACACAGACGAGTGTAATGCTCTTCACATTAATCTAGATACAATAAGTGCTTGGAGCGTCAAGTGGCAAATGGAATTCAATGTGAATAAATGCCATGTTATGGAATGTGGAATTGGAGAAAATAGACCTCACACAACTTACTAACCATGTGGAAACTAATTACAGAACTGTAATAAGTAAGGAGAGCAAGTGGTGGTTTAGGATAGTAAAGTGTCGTCAGAGGAACAGAGGCGGGACCAAAGAGCCAGAGCTCAACCCCCGCAAGCACAACTAGGTGAATACAACTAAGTGAACACAGACACTTTATTATAACTGTAATAAGTAAGGAGAGCAAGTGGTGGTTTAGGATAGTAAAGTGTCGTCAGAGGAACACATAAAGAACATTGTGAGAGGAGCGTATGTGTCCCTTTCCTACTTCACACTTGCTCTTAATTATATGGATGGTGAAATACTGAAGAAACTGTTCATGACCTTCGTCAGACCAAAACTGGAATATGCAGCAGTTGTATGCTGCCCAAATCTTAAGAAGCACATCAATACTTTATGTGGTAATTAGTAGTAGTAGTTGTAGACATCCATCAGTCTCAAGAGTCTGTAATTACCTAATTACACTTAGGCAATTACACACACACACACACACACAGTCAGGAAGTCGTCTACGGTATATATATATATATATATATATATATATATATATATATATATATATATATATATATATATATATATATATGCATATATATATATATATATATATATATATATATATATATATATATATATATATATATATATATATATATATATATATATATATATATATATGCAATTGACGATCGCAAAACACTGATCATTTTATGCGGAAAATCCACAGAGAAATATGAAATGAGGTGAACGTTTCGGCTTGTTAAAGCCTTTGTCAACACCAGACTGACTAAGGAGAAGGGAAGGGGAGGATATATAGGCCGACAGCTGACCAACCCATCCCTAGGGAAAGAATTAACCAAAAACAGGTATAGCTTAGCTTAGAATGGTCAAAGAGGATTAAGCGGTCAGAGAATAAGGATGAAAGATTAAAGAAAAGCCTCATGAACACACAATATATGAATATACAATTATAATGAGACATTGTAAGCCTCTCTATCAGAGTTGTTTCTTAAACTGTTGTGCAATATTATAACTTAAAAATGGATCAAGTTTGTACATACCAGTACTAACATTAAGAAGAATTGGACACTGACTGATTAGAGCAGACTCAATCAAATTCCGTTCCACGAAATCCCCACAATTGGTAATGCTTTTTGCCCCATTTTGCCCCAGGGATGGGTTGGTCAGGTGTCGGCCTATATATCCTCCCCCTTCCCTTCTCCTTAGTCAGTCTGGTGTTGACAAAGGCTTTAACAAGCCGAAACGTTCACCTCATTTCATATTTCTCTGTGGATTTTCCGCATATATATATATATATATATATATATATATATATATATATATATATATATATATATATATATATATATATATATATATATATATATACACACTGCGAAGGTGTATATATATTGTTATTTCTTATCAGGCCCTGGTAATAGCGAGAGGTGGAAGGAGTATACTCATTCTCTCTCTCTCTCTCTCTCTCTCTCTCTCTCTCTCTCTCTCTCTCTCTCTCTCTCTCTCTCTCTCTCTCTCTCTCTCACTCACTCTTTCTCTCTCCCTTTTGTATCACTCATTTTACCAAACTCCTTCAGAATCTTTTAAGCAAGTCACATCAACACAATTATTTTATCGAATATCAACAGCATTGCAAAAGACAATGCTGTAGATTGATTGCAATCAAGATCCCTATAACTCACAGAGGTAAGGCTGGTCCAAGTGTGGAGAAAGGAATGTAAGAATGATATCACAATGACAGATTAACGAAATACTGCTATCGCTCGTCACTGAGGGCATGATATTAATTCTGATAAGTGCAAACGTATTCTGTAAGTTCACTGGATTATGTTCAAAAACAGGATTGTAAAATTATAATCCTATTACTATTAATGTTTAACGAGAAATGTAAACTATTCTCGTTTATGTAAATGTAAATACAAAAAATACAAATTTTTTGAAAAAATTGTGTAAATACAAAATGAAAACCTTTTGGAGAGTATATTTTTAAGAAACTAATTCTCTGGTCATGTGTGTAAAAATCCACCAGTTCTGAGGAGACTGAAAACTATATATCAAAGATTTTAGAATGCATTTTCTTGATATTAATTCGCTTGGAAACGAAATTAAAAAAATACTCATATGTTCATATTTCAATTTTCTTGGGCATGACAGGTAGCTAAAGGCTACCTTTCCCCCCCTGGTTAGTCACCCTATATTATATATATATATATATATATATATATATATATATATATATATATATATATATATATATATATATATATAATCAAATACGGAGCTGTACTTGATGCAATAACAGTTTAAAAGAAGTTCTTTCCTTTTTAAGTTTCTTGGAGTACTTCTAGAGCATTAACTCATCTCTAATGTCTTCTAGGGATTACTTACATTTCTTGGCTGAGCACTTTACACTTTTCAAGAACCAGAGACCCTGATTAGCACCACAGCCCAAAGGCTTAAGCCAGAGCTTCTAACACAGATTTCTGTGTTAAGGCTTCTGGGTTTTCTCCT